ACTGATCTCATAACAAATGAAAACCTGCATAGAACACAGATATATGACCTGCAGAATATATGCTTTTGGGTTTCTGTTGACATGGCTATCATTAGCTAATATTTCCGAAAGCTGACATCCTTGAATACTGACAAAACGCTATTTTCAGCGACTGTTTACTCGCTTTTGTGGCGTGCTCCATGTGCATCACTCGGAAGCGATCGTACGGAAAATAGCATTCGGAATCGTTCGGGTACAAAATGTTTTCGAGGTAAAAGTTCAAAAGGTATGTGCGAATGTCAACTTTCGCGATTTGGTAAGATGTGTTCTGATTGGTCCATTGAAGTCAGCTGATGCAACCTTCCACAAGGTTTTATTAGACTCAGTATAGCAGTGTAACGAATAATACTGAGCCTAAGTTTACTTAGACTGCAGTCATACCATACTTAAATGAGAAAATATAAAAAACAACTCACATCAGGCTAGAAGGGAAGTATCCACAATTTTTAAAACATTGTTAAACATTTTAGCATGTCATGTGCTATTTTAAGGGTAGAAATATTCATACAGATTTTCACTTGTCTGGAGTCCATTTCCATTTCACAAACCTAATTTGTCCTGAGTAAAACATTATTAAATCAGTGTCAATAATGTTTGTGACAAAGTTCGTCAAGATCACACTATGATGGAAAATGACAACATAATCATTCAAACCCATGAAGTTCCGGGTCAGAATATTGATCTTCAGCAACCCATGCTTGTCGTACGAGGCGACTAACAGGATCGGGTGGTCAGACTCGCTGACTGGGTTGACAGTCATCGTATCTCAGTTGCGGAGATCGATGTTCCTGCTGTTGATCCCTGGGTTGTCTGGTCCAGACTTGAGTACTTACAGGCCAGGCGCGATAGCAAGCCAACATTTTCGTGTAAGCCCGATAGGTTGCAAACTTCATATCCAGATGGTATTGAGGGCTTGCCCAAACCTTTTAGCAACAATCATGTGTAAGCCCGGGCTTGTCTTCATAATGGTAGCTACGCCATATAGCTGGAATATTGCTGAGTGTGGCGTAAAACTAAACTCACTCTCTCACATAATCATCCAGATGTAGCTGTAGTTTGATAATGGCTTTGAGATGGACCATGGAACTTTTCTAACCAAGAAACCCCACAGAACGAGACAAGATACGACAACAGGAACTTTGAGGATCCCACTGGAATTGTGAATCTTTTTAAGTTACTGAAAACTTCACAAGATGTTGTAAGGAACAACTTCGTGACCCAATATGACTTCGTACCATGAATAAACTGCCATATCTACATCAAGGATGCATGGGTTCTTGAGCCATTCCGTTCAGCTCTCTAGAATAGTTTGGCATCATTTCTTTACCATTTTGATAAGGAAGTTTCATTTTTAACAATGGCAAACACACACAGAACACAATATTTCTTCACTACTACTACATTGCCAGCATAAATGCCATGGTGCTCAGAATCAGCAAGGTGTAATACATCTACAACAAATATAATGATGTAATCTTTATTATTTACATTTGGAACTTGCTGATCAAGTTATTTTTCACGATACTGTAATTACATACTGCTCTTAATGTTTTGCTCACTAGTACTGAGAATTTCAGGAGCCTCAATGCTGGCTGAATAGAAAAGTCACCCTAAATGCTTTCTATTTCATGGAGAGAGATGTTGTATCAGAGTAAAGAATCTTATTACCTAAGAGGGCGAACATATCAGGGTTCATATTTTTCATACGATGCTCTAGGGCAAAATATCACTTTGTCATGGTGACGTGACGTCATGAACAATGCTATGACGTCACGTTTATCTGTGAAGCTGCGTTCTATATGCGGCGACGGTGGGTAGACAGCCTATGTTTGAAAGTAGATTTGGGTTAATTTCCTCAATTTCACGCCTTCGGTAATAAACAGAATATTATATTCGTGACCATATCATACTATGTTTATGACACTCATGCCTAAATATCGGTATATCCCTCGCTTGGGAAATACCAACAGTTTTTTTAATTTTTGTTTAGGCACTCGTGTCCTAAACATAGTATGACATGGGCACTCATATAATATCCTGTATTTATTTGAATGAGATTGTCCAGCGGAGGACAAATGACCAAGACACCAGGTCATATGCTGTAACCATTCCATCCTCATCTGAGGCTGGTCTTGTGACAAGCATATGGGTAATGAACACTAAGATGACACATATTTAATGGCAAATTTGACATCTTAACTGACGAAGTCATCATATCTTGTTCGTTCACGCAAAGTGATACAATGTCATTTTCTTACAGCCTGAAAAAAGTTTGACAAGTGTAAACAGTCAATAAGCCATTCCATTTCTACAGACTGCTGTTTATGTCCTCACAGTGTGGCTTATCTATGGTAATATACGGTAATCTTCCCACTAGGATGGTTCCCACCCTTTTTAAGTACACCGAACAAAATACAAATCATCTACCTTTGATGTTAAAATCTTTCCTTGCATCACAAGCTTCCACTTGTATTCTGATGAAACATTATTCTTCTAAATGACGCTTTACTTGCAATAGCAAAAGTAGTCTTTATAGATACTGTACATTAAAAGCATTTTGAAATCCTAACTTCAATGATGCCAAAAGTGACATTTACAATCATTTCAATCTTTCAACAAAATCAATTGCTTTTTTACAAGATTATGCTATGACGACCAGTAAAAAGATAATGGGATGATATAACATCCAGTTTTATTCATCTGAAGTGAACCCTACACCTTTATAATGAGAAAGCACCATACCCTAAGTAGTAATGCAAAATCAGTAAATGCAATCATTATGTAGTGATTAGGGCAACAGAACTCCCATCACCAGCAACCTGTAAACTCTGATACTACTGGAGAGCCAACTAATTGTACATCAAATAGCTTTCAGCTCCCACTAGAGTACGTACTGTAAGTAATAGGGAAGGGAAGTTTATGAACCTTGATGTGATCAAACGAAATATATATCCAACATTTATGATAATTGACAAGACAAATTATCATTGTTAGTAAAACGACATGTGGAAATTCACTGTTAGCTATTGTAAGAGAAGATAGTGTGCGATAAACTGACATTGACATGTAAAAGGGTTTGTGGTGGAAACCTGTTTGATATATTGAATTTTCGCCTGTATTGACAGTTCCCTGACAAAATGCCTGAGTGCCGTGCAAACAGCGATTGGAAACTGTACACAGGATTCGCCAATGCATGACACTTACAAGATACGTACAGACATATGTGTGACACTGATGATACTCTTTTGACCCAATCCTTGTCAAAACCTGACGGCTTCCTCATTCTCGTCGGCCAAAATCGAAAAATTATAGGCTATTTCATTTGTGATATTTCTGACAGAGATTTCAATCAATTAATGATTTGGACACATACATCACTTTGCACTTTGTTGCTTTGTAAAGAGGAAATCGAACTGGACCATGATCGACGCTGGGAACTGTTCTGCATACACGTCTTAATCTACACGCAAGAAAAATAATTCCTACTAGAAGTTTTCACCAAGACTCTATTGTCAGGCCGTGTCACAGTTAACCTAATTTTATCTTGTTGAAGTCAAACCTAAATTCCAAATAATTCATGTTGGATGTTTTCATCAAAGGGTTATTGTTGGTTTATGTCAGCCGGTCCAATTTCATCCTTTGGAGGTAAAATCTAAATTCAAGTATGGCTTTTGAGGCAATCTTATGGAGGTGCCAATCAATACTGGAGATGCCGATGCATGAACATTTGATGGAAATAATCAGCACCTGACTCTCACCATTATGACAAACATTAGTATCTCTGAATACATGTGTACCTCGTAGAATCCGAGGGCCAGTGGGGTAGTCAAGTGGTGAAACTGTCACTCATCATGTCCTAGGTTACAGACATTTCTGGTGCTTCCAGCTGTGGTTTTGCTGGATGGTTCCTGAAACTGACATAAAAGGGAACAATCATTCGGTTATTGCATCCTTATTAAGAGGTCCTGGGTTCGAATCCCAGACTGATACCACCACCGAATCTAATTGCCTTCACTTTCTTGTTTTAATACTCACACACATGCATGCAATCACATTTCAGTGTCATATTCATCTAAGCTCATCACCATCAGAATATTGAAACAAACCAGGAAAACATCACCATAGAGTAGAGAGGAACACCAGATTTGGGCCTAATTATAATGCTTGGATTCTTATAACCATACCTTTGCTCTGAACGTAGCTTGCTTCTCCCCTCCTAGCAAACTCTTTTCTCCCCTCCCATCCAGCTCTCGTCTCCCTTCCCATCCAGCTCTCTTCTCCCTTTCCATCCAGCTCGCTTCTCCCTCCTATCCAGCTCTCTTCTCCCCTCCCATCCAGCTCTCTCCTCTCCTTCCCATCCAGCTCTCCTCCCATCCAGCTCTCTCTCTTCTCCTCCCATCCAGCTCTTTTCCCTCCCATCCAGCTTCTCTTCTCCCCTCCCATCCAGCTCTCTTCCCATCCAGCTCCGTCTTCCATCCAGCTCTCTTCTCCCTCCTATCCAGCTTCTTCTCCTCTCCCATCCAGCTCTCTTCTCCCTCCTATCCAGCCTCTCTCCTCCTATCCAGCTCTTCTCCCTCCCTATCCAGCTCCTCTTTCTCCCTCCCATCCAGCCTCTCTTCTCCCCTCCCATCCAGCTCTCTTTCTCCCTCCCCTTCCCAATCCAGCTCTCTTTCTCCCTTCCATCCAGCTCTCCCCTCCCATCCAGCTCTCTTCCCTCCTCCCATCCAGCTCTCTTCCCCTCCCATCCAGCTCTCTTCCCCCTCCCATCCAGCTCTCTTTCTCCCCTCCCATCCAGCTCTCCTCCCTCCCATCCAGCTCTCTTCTCCCCCTCCCATCCAGCTCTTTCTCCCTCCTATCCAGCTCTCTTCCCCCTCCTATCCAGCTCTCTTCCCCTCCTATCCAGCTCTCTCTTCCCCATCCTACCCAGCTCTCTTCACCCTACCCAGCTCTCTCTCACCATCCTACCCAGCTCTCTTCCCAATCCTAGCCACCTCGCCTCCCCTCCCATCCAGCTTATCTTTCCCTCCCCCATCCAGCTCTCTTTTCCCTCCCACCCAGCCTCTTTTCCCCTCCCACCCAGCTCTCTTTTCCCCTCCTATCCAGCTCTCTCTTTCCCCCTCCCATCCAGCTCTCTTCTCCCCCCCATCCCATCCAGCTCTCTTTTCCTCTCCTACCCAGCTCTCTTCCCCTCCCATCCAGCTCTCTTCTCCAGCCTCTCCCATCCAGCTCTCTCCCCCCCTCCCATCCAGCTCTCTTCTCCCCCCCCCCATCCAGCCTCTCTTCTCCCTCCTATCCAGCTCTCTTCTCCCTCCCATCCAGCTCTCTTCTCCCCTCCCATCCAGCTCTCTTCTCCCTTCCCATCCAGCTCTCTTCTTCCCTCCCATCCAGCTCTCTTCTTCCCTCCTACCCAGCTCTCTCTTCCCCTCCTATCCAGCTCTCTCTTCCCCTCCTATCCAGCTCTCTCTTCACCATCCTACCCAGCTCTCTCTTCACCATCCTACCCAGCTCTCTCTTCACCATCCTACCCAGCTCTCTCTTCCCCATCCTAATACCTCGCTCCTCCCATCCAGCTTCATCTTCCCCCTCCCATCCAGCTCTCTCTTTCCCCTCCTACCCAGCTCTCTTTTCCCCTCCTACCCAGCTCTCTTTTCCTCTCCTACCCAGCTCTCTTTTCCCCATCCTATTCCAGCTCTCTCATCATCCCCCTCCAATCCAGCTCTCATTCCCTCAATCCTATCCAGCTCTATCTTCACCATCCTCCCCAGCTCTCTCTTCCCTATCCTATCCAGATCTCTTCCCCATCCTATCCAGCTCTCTTCCCCATCCTACCCAGCTCTCTCTTCCCCATCCTACCCAGCTCTCTCTTCCCCATCCTACCCAGCTCTCTCTTCCCCATCCTATCCAGCTCTCTTTCAGTCCCATCCAGCTCTCTTCTCACCTCCTATCCAGCTCTCTTCTCCCCTCCTATCCAGCCTATCATCACAAAATCCATTAATATAATCAGCACATATCATCATTATATCAACTAATATCATAACAGCATCAATTAACATCACCACAATATCAACTAATATCTCCACAGTATCAACTAACATCACCCCAGTATCCAACAAATGACCACAGTATCATCAAATGTCATTGCAGTATCTACTGATATCATCACAATATAACTAATATCATCACAGCATCCACTATAATCATCATAATATAACTAATATCATCACAGCATCCACTATAATCATCACAATATAATTAATATCATCACAGTTTCCACTGTAATCATCACTGTATAAAATGTCATTGCAGTATCAAGAAATGCAATCACAGTTTGCAGGAATCTAATCCCAGTACCTATCAATATGACCATCGTCAAAGTTTATCTTTTCATGAAAGAGAAATGTGCTTAGTGAATTATACATTACTTTTCAGAACTTTGCACCCAAAAATCTGCTGTCAGTGTTATCTTCTGAGTGAGAACAATCTTCCACAAGGACATGAACACAAACTGACCTTTAAATTTTTGTCATGAGAAACAAAAATGTCAACTTCTTTTCATTACATGTATAACTGTTATTGATCAGTGGCAAGAAGGTTGATCTGAATATCAACTACACCACTGAGGGGAAACAGCTGTAAAATTGCTGTTGCTGCTAAAAGCAATATATTCTCATGAAGTATGCTCTCTTGTGATTGGTTCATCAGAGGTATCAAATTACAGTAACACACATATAAAATTAAGATTGCTTTTCCATATAGTTTTGATAGGACCAAGTTGGACTTTTTGTGTTAGCAATCACTCTTAATGGATTCTCTTTTACTGTTATGCATTTGCAGCTTTTAGTTTAAAGGTAGTCATCAACCTCTAAAACTGATTAATCCATTTTCATGTTATTTTTGGAGCACATTTTTTATACACAGAAATCTTAAATGGTAGTTATGACATGCATTTCTGCTGAATAGAAATTCCACTTTGATTTTTTAGGTCACATGTTAATTAAGATCTTCCAGTCTTGTGTTATTGTTTGATGTCTACCTTTAATGGGCGAATACTTGGTTTAAGGTTTTCACGCATCATATAATCATCTTGAGGATAGCGTCTTGGCATTTTAATGTCATATGAGGTACAAAAGAAAGTGAAACTTAACTTTCACATCCACTTTGAAATTTAAACACACCTTCAGCGCAAGTTAACATTACCAGACACTAAACAGCAAAATGTATAAAAAAATACAAAGGGCAATGTGAATTTTAAATTTTGATTTATTTTTTTTAATATGCAGCAATTCCATCATCATAAGCCTAGTAACTCCAGTACCCTTTAAAACTTCAAAGAAAAGTGATAAATTTTGTGCAAAGTGCTTCGGAAATAATATCTCAGACATTTAATGTGTCTGCGGTCTTTAATTTAATAGATTCTGTTGCACTAAACTAAGGCATTGGTTATTTAGTGCCTGTAGGAAGGTTATCATTCTACAGACACATTCCATATTTGAAGGATTAATTGTCGTCTCCCATTCTTGAGATGGAATGCTGATGTGTGTGTGCTCAGAAATTGCTCATTAAAACCATAATCAAGTGAATTTTGAGATTGAGTGAGTGAGTTTAGTTATACGCCGCACTCAGCAATATTCCAACTATGGCAGCGGTCTGTAAATAATCGGATCTGGACCACACAATCCAGTGAGCCTGACCACCCGATCCTGTTAGTCGCCTCTTACGACAAGCATGGGTTACTGAAAGTTCATTCTAACCCGGACCTTCACGGGTAATTTTGAGATTGAACATTAGAGAACAGAAATATACTTTAAGCATCAAGAACAATAGTTACTTAGCAAGAATATACCCTTTCTACACTGCAGTATTTTCTGTGAAAAAGATCTGTAAAATATGTCAATCCGATTAAAAGATTTAAAGAAATTTAAATGTGACGCATTGTTTACTGCTATACATCTGTTTATTCTCATTGTATTTTTTGTATATATTTCAAATGTAATACTAAATACTTATTCCCTTTGTATATATACTCTTTAATATTTCAATTATGATAGCATATAAGGATAATCATGTTCATGTTTTATTCTTTTTCAGGAGGGGCGATGGGGTAGCCTAGTGGTTAAAGCATTCACTCGTCGTGCCAAAGGCCTGGGTTCGATTCCCACATGGGTACAATGTGTGAAGCCCATTTCTGGTGTCCCCTGCCATGATATTGCTGGAATATTGCTACAGGTGGCGTAAAACTAAATTCACTAACTCAACTCTTTTTCAGGCTACCTAAGTTGTGGAGACTTGTGCTCAATCCTCTCCTTGCGTATAAATATGTTCAAATCAAATCTGTAAAGTTTAAAAGAAACATTACTTGAAGACAGGTGTCAGGGGCAGTTATTGGAGCAGGATGCTTCTTGGATGGATGGATCACTGAAAAACTGTGATGACACCAGGTGTTCACAAGAAGGGTAAGCATGTCCTGTGAGGTGTACGTATGTGAGCAAACATAAATCATTTTACCGTTGTGATCAGGACACCGTCCTCTTAATCATTGCTGCAGGCAACATCAAGGTGTATACATTGTGATGATTCTCCATAAAACTGATTTTGAATTTGTTAATATTGATGAAGAAAAACAGAATTTTACAGCAAAAAGCAAATACACTATCAGACATGTATTTGGCAAAAAGCCAATGTTTTATGAACAACTCTGATAATGGGTCTATAACTTCTTTATTATATAACAAAAGAATTATCTCCCTTCTTTATCATGCCAACTTCTCAATGCCATTAAAGAAACCAATGTTTTATGAACAGGGGAGATAACTCTGATAATGGATGTTCAACTTCTTTATTTCATAGAAAAAGAATTATCTCCCTTGTTCATCATGCCAACTTCTTAATGGCATTTTAAGAAGCCAATGTTTTATAGCTTCGAAAAGAAAATTCCACACTCGATCAAGCCAATAGCCATCCACTCTGAGTGAACGAGACTGCTTTTGAACAGTCTTGCAGCCCTGTAACAAAACATCACCTACACACAGGAGGGCAGCCAAGAATGGCGCAGGTCATTATCAGTGGATCCACTTTGGTAAAACCCATGAGAATACACATGATGCTGGCAGATAAAAGATCAAAACCTGGGTGAATTTCAAAAGGCGTTTTGAAAAAAAATAACTCCTCTTTGTACGTGAGTGTGGTGGCTGCCTGCCACTGGTTCTGCTGGGGTGAGATACGCTCATCGGTATCCTCACTACACAACAGGAAGTCATGGTTTAGTCGTAATCCGACAATGGAAATTGTTTAGTCATATATTGTAACCTTATTAGGCCAGACCAATTTATTTCTTGTTTTACGGGTCAGCCGGTCATATTTTTTCAAGAATACGGAAAAAAAAATGTAAATTAATTTTCCCCGCTCACAAAATGTAATCGTAATGTTGATGTGATATAAGTGAAATACTCTTGAAATCAGTGTGAAACCTAAACTCAGTCTAAACTCCAAAAGTCAACTTATTTTTTTTGAGTCAATATAAACAAACCAAAAAAAGAGTTAACATGGAAACTTACTTGGAATGTGACTTTTGCTTTGACTAGTGATTTTATAAAAAAAATTGCCCTCCTGCCTGTAGGTTTTCTGAGGACATTTTATTTTATACTAAATTATGACACTAGTGCTAACACCATGACAACTGGTCCACACCATCAATTAGGGTCCAACTAGTAAATCTAAAAATAAAAATCAACAAAAAATCATCTGTGGTCTGGAACACCACTAATTATTTCTTTCACCATAAATTCAAGCTATAAACACTCAAAAATCATTTAAATGCCCAAATTTTGAATTATGACATGGACATATTAATTTTCTATTTTTTTTATTTCCAAATTTTCAAAATAAATGTCAACCTTAAGTGCCATTATGTTTGCCATTAGACAAACTAGCATTGCCTTTGCCATCACAACCATTAAAATATTCCTGACGGATGACACACCAGTTTGAAATAATCAACTGGTTTCTCGTCATCAACAAATTAGCCTTCGAGCGCTTAAATACTGGCCATCTTGGCAAGAGCAACCATAACCTTAGGTTGTCTCCCCTGAGACCCATAATCAACCACGCTGCTTAAGACGCCACTCAAAAGAAACACATCTGAAGGCTTTCAATTTACTGCTTGCAGCTTGCAAAGATACAAACCTCTTCATTTTTTTCACAACTTTTTTTTTCTGAGTTTCAGGAATTCACTGTCTGTGTAGTAGAGAGTCCAGTCACATTTCTGTTGAATTAATTGTCATGCCACGGACTCCGGGTTGTGTCAAAAAGTGGCAATGTCATACTTAAAGAACTGTATTTTCGAGGAAACGTTTCCTTCCTCTGTCGACTCTGTATGATAATATGA